CGCCCCCTCGTCCTGTCCACGTGGGCCGGCAGCGCGCCGGACGCGACCGAAAGACAGCGAATCCGTTCCTCTGGCTGCGCGTAGGAGGTGAAAACTGGAACATGGAGGTGAGGGAAAAGGGGGGAAATCTCATGAAATGTCCTCATCTAAAGCTATTTTCAAGTCCACCTCTTTGGGGACTCAGCCCTCCAGCGCTGGCGAGGATGCTGCAGTCCGGCCTGTCGGGGAAAGGACGACCGCCCCCTCGTCCTGTCCACGTGGGCCGGCAGCGCGCCGGACGCGACCGAAAGACAGCGAATCCGTTCCTCTGGCTGCGCGTAGGAGGTGAAAACTGGAACATGGAGGTGAGGGAAAAGGGGGGAAATCTCATGAAATGTCCTCATCTAAAGCTATTTTCAAGTCCACCTCTTTGGGGACTCAGCCCTCCAGCGCTGGCGAGGATGCTGCAGTCCGGTCTCACCCTCGACGGCACTTGGAGTCGACGCGGAACAAGGCAGAGCCCCGCGGCTTAGGGGTCAGTGCGCACGCTGCCCGCGCCTTCCTCGGGGTCGCAGCACTTGAACCTCACGTGTGAAGGAAACGCGATGACCGCCACAATAAGAAAGAAGGAAAACAAACACTGGAGAAAATGGCACATGCTTCCCCAAATTTGTAAAGCTTTACTTTTAAAGGAAACCAGACAGGGAGACACAGACACACAGAAAGACAACGTTGCATTGAAGTCTTTCAGCAAAAACAAAGTTGTCAGCCTGCTGGCCCTGTGCTGTGAGGTGAACACGAAACCCCCTCCAGACACCGGCTTTCTGGGAAAGCCGCCCTTACCTCTTTGTCTTCCTAGGTTAAAATTCGCTCTCCATGGCCTGTTGAACTGGAAAATTATAAAAGGCAAATAAAAGACGTTTCAGACATTGTAAAAGGTAAAACAAAACTGTTCCTCAAGAAGAATGTCAAGTACGATGAGGGAGGAATGAACAGCCGTGAGATCGGCGTGGACCGCGCCTGCGTCCTCCGCGGCTTTCTGCTGGGCCTGGTCTTCAAACGAAGTCAATACAGGCCGGGAAGCGCGGCTCGGCCTGCGTTGACGCTCGATATTTTTCCAACAGCCAAATGACATGAGACGTCAGCCTTTGCTACGGTTCCTGCTAAGCGTGAAAGTGTGATTAAAGTACTGGACTTCAACTACACGACTAGAATAAACCACAGCGGCACCTGAGGAAGCCCTTTTGCCGCGAGACGCCGGAGAAGGGCTGCTACGAACGGGCATTCGAGGAAGGAACAGAGGGGAGGGAGGGGAGGGCGGGTCCTATGGTTCCCGGGTGGATTCGAAGCATCGATCATTTCCCAGAGCCCAGAGCACTGACCGCCTACGCCGTGAAAACGGCCACCGAGGCACGTGTCCGCAGCCTTGGAGGGGTGGTGTCCACGCTGCTGGGATGCGAGGTCGCCTGGGGCTCAGGCTCACCTAACCCCCGGCTCCTGAGGCTTCCGGGAGCTGGAGAGTCCGCGAGGACGACCCCCGCACTCGGTGTATAGCTGTGTGTTGGATGCGGGATTGGGAAGTGAAGCTGTGGGGGCCCCAGGGACCTTGCTTCGGGGGAGGCAAGGAGCCCTAGACTAGGGCCTCTCGGGAGCTGCAGTCTCCTTACCTGAGGGCTCGTCTGTGCTCCCAGGGTCCTTTGCTTTCGAAAATATTTGTGGCCGGTTGTGGCAAGAGATACAGTTCTTGGATGTGTCATTAAGGGTTTGAGGCAGAGCTGTTTCCGTAGTGTAGTGGTTATCACATTCGCCTAACACGCGAAAGGTCCCTGGTTCGAAACCAGGCGGAAACACGTGGATTCTTTTCTGAAACTTAACATTCACGTTTAAACACCAAAAAACAGGGCGAGTGGGATGGATTGAGGTAGCGCGTGCAGCTGTATTTTTGTCCCCCCGAAATACAGGAGGAGTTCCCTTATTGCCTGAAAGCCTTCTCAGCACTAGCAACCATCCCTCCTTTGTCTGCTCTGTGTCACTTTGAAGACAAGGCCCCAGACAGACCAAGAAGGGCACAGGACAAAGCCAAGTTAAGGTTATCTTTACATTTGGAAATCCCCTCACCTTCTCATGTGGCGCCTAAATCTCCTCTACACGCTGACACGTATTTTGTCTCTGGAAACAAGAAGTTTATCCCTGTGAAGCTCACTTGCTTACCCCACCTCAGCACACTTGCGGAACACGTTGATTTGCGTGACAGAACAAAAGAGACCGACCCGACTCCGCACCGGGTGCTCGACCCAAAGACACGTAGGTGAATTTCAGGCTCCAGAATTGCAGCTGGTAGGGGCACGTAAAGGAGTCCTTAAATGTGCCATTATCAGCAGAGCCCCTGTAGTGAGCTCAGAGATCAGGAAGTAGACGGAATTGCTCATCAGCCGCTGAGAGCCAAGTCAGCACCTGACACATAAGGAAACCGAGGTTCAGAAAGAGAGCATGACCTTGGCTCTGCCGCACACAGCGTAAAGCTAGACCAGGATGGAACCCAGCCACTTACCTTGTGGCCTGGCCTCAGAGCCCAAAGCGTCGCCCACGACAGGAGAGGTGAAAAGTGATGAGCAGCAGGGCAAGGGCTGGGAGCCCTGCACAGCTGCATTGAGCCGCGAGCCGCTGGGAATCGCCTCCTTTTCTGCTCTGCCATTCTCAAAAATCTAACCTTACTCTGACAGTTTTCAACTGGAGAAGCCAAATTATGGAGTTTTGTTATGTCTGGTTGCCTGGTAGCTACAATTTGGCATTTTACTGCTGCGGTCCGGATTCGATTCTACGTCAGGAAAGCTCTAAATTGCGCTAAATCTTCCTCTTCCCAGACAGAGGTAGTTTGCCAGAAGGGCGATGCAAGACCCTCCTCAGGGTTCCTATTGCCAGGCACCCTCCATGTGGGGGAGGGGAAATGTGATGAACCACCAGGGCTTGTGCCCTCCACTCTTTTCTTCCTTTATTTCAGAAACCTAGTGTCTCACATATGGAGTTTTCATCCAAAGAGAACCTGGGGCTTAACTTCGAAAAACTCGTTAAGAAAACAAAAACATAAAACCTTTTAAATATAAAAAAAATTTTGGGGGCGTCCCTGGTGGCGCGGCGGTTGAGAGTCCGCCTGCCGATGCAGGGGGCGGGCTTGTGCCCTCCACTCTTTTCTTCCTTTATTTCAGAAACCTAGTGTCTCACATATGGAGTTTTCATCCAAAGAGAACCTGGGGCTTAACTTCGAAAAACTCGTTAAGAAAACAAAAACATAAAAACTTTTAAATATAAAAAAATTTTGAAGTACTAACATTGTCTATTCTGTACCTAATCTCACAGTTAACATTTTCCCACGCTTGCTTTCTCACTCTCTCTCCATATACATGATTTGCTGCACCATTTGAGAGTAACTTACAGATATCTCAACTCAAGATCACTGGTTAGGCCACTGTTGCTCCTTTCCTTTGGCATCTCCTTCAAAACCAGCTTCTGCGGGACCTGTCCTCCAAGGACAGGAGGAAGATTTGTCTTCGTGAGGAGGCCCCTCTTGCCACTTCAGAAACCTGGAATCTGTTCTCTTTAGGCTGTAGAGAAGCTTCAGGTGGTGTTTTATTCGGCTCTCCCCTGCACTGATGTTCGCTGTTTTTCCAACAGCCAAATGACCTGAGATGTCAGCCTTTGCTACAGTTCCTGCTAAATGTGAAAGTGTGATTAAAGTACTGGACTTCAACTAGACGACTAGAGTAAGCCATAGCGGCACCTGAGGAAGCCCCTTTGCAGGGAAGAACACCGGAGAAGCGCTTGCTGCGAAAGGGCTTGCGAGGAAGGAGCGCGAGGGTCAGGCGCACCACAGCAGAGGGGAGGGAGGGGACCTCGCTTCGGGGGAGGCAAGGAAGCCTAAACTAGGGCTTCTTGGGAGCCGCAGCCTCCTTACCTGAGGGATTGCCTGTGTTCCCAGGGTCCTTCCTTTCAAAAATGTTTGTGGCCAATGGTGGCAAGAAGTACAGTTCTTGGATGTGTCTTTAGGGCCTGTGGTTCAGGTGGTTTTCCTAGTGCAATGGTTATCACGTTCGCCTAACACGTGAGAGGTCCCCGCTTCCAAACCAGGCAGAAAGAGCTTCTTTTTTTTTCCCAGAGTTACAGTCACACTTGACAAACTTTTTAAAAGGAGGCTAGTGGTGTGAGGAGCAGCTGCATTTTCGATCCCCAAGAAACCTGAGAAGAGTTCTGTGACTACCTGAAAGCCTACTCAGCACTATGAACCAGGCCTCCTCTGTCTGAGTCACTTTGGACACCAGGCCACACCAGTTACTTCGAGGAGGGCACAGGCCAAGGCCAACTTCAGGTTACCTTTACGTCCGGAAATCCCCTCATCTCATCTGGCACCTAAATCTCCTCTACACACTGACAGTAGTGTTATGGCTCTGAAAACCAAGGAGTTCATCCCTCTGAAGCACACTTGGCTTTCCCACAGCTCAGCACACGTGGTTTGCATGACAGAACAGAAGAGACCGAACCCGACTCTGCACCGGGGGCTGGAGCCAAAGACGGGTAGATGAAGAACTCCACTAACTGAGTCACAGCACGAAAAGGAGCCCATGCAGGTGCCATTATCGGGAGAGCCCCTGGAGTCAGGTCAGAGATCAAGAAGTAAACGGATCCGCTCATCACCCGCGGAAAACCAAGTTGGCACCTGACTCATAAGGAAACCGAGGTTCAGAAAGAGAGCATGACCTTGGCTCTGCCGCACACAGCGCTAAAGCTAGACCAGGATGGAACCCAGCCAGTTACCTTGCGGCCTGGCCTCAGAGCCCAAAGCGTCACCCAGAACAGGAGAGGTGAAAGGTGATGAACAGCGGGGCAAGGGCTGGGAGCCTTTCACAGCTGCCTTCAGCCCTGGGCCACTGGGAAACACCTCCTTTCCTGCTCTAGGCATCTCAGGAATTTAATTTTTACTTTCACAGTTTCCACCTGAAGACACTAAGTTGGACGTTTTGCGTGGCTCCCTGGTGGTCTAATGGTTAGGATTCGGTGCTTTCACCGCCATGACCTGGGTTCAATTCCCGGTCAGGGAAGTGTCCTTTCGCTGGTATCCTGATTTGTAGTTATGTATTCATTCTACTGTGTCACTCCCCAAAGTGGGGCTCTGATAGAGCCTCTATACTTTAAGGATTCCAGTGGATAGCATCCAAGGTGCTTTTTACTGAACTTTCTTTCTGAAATGTAACTTGGAAGAAAAACCAAAAAGTTTAGCTTTACTGTATCATAGGGATAAATTAGTATGTACCTAGTGTGCTAGGTACAAGAAAAAAATTCAAGTTGATAGTAAGGATAAATCTCGAATACTTTTAACACTCTAGAGAATTCTAATAATTAACATATGATTGTACAGAAAATGTTATATTTCTAGAGATGACTCCTTGTATGCATCACAACAGTTTAATAATTTCAGTCTAAAAACTACTTTATGTTGTTTTACAAATATTACAATAATATGGAACATATGGGTAGCATAGTACTCTAGTTTCACAAGTCCTGGATTTATTTTCTCTTCAAAATTCTAATAACATTGAACTGCCTAACTTTTTATACTGGTTTTACTTGTTTAACAAGAAATTTTAAATCCAATAAATATTTAAGTTTATGAAATTTAAAATCATGTTTTCCAGTAAATTAAATATACCATATAATATATTTTAAATGGAGATTTACTATTATAATTCTAGAAATCAGAGTAACTTAATTATTCCACTTACAATTTGGGGTATCATTTACTGTATGATTCCAACATGCATTTCTCTATTATGTGTCAGCTCAACTTTTGATTTTAAGGTCTATTTTTATCTTTAAGTTCTTTGATTGATATTAAATTAATTGATGTGTGGTCTTTGCCTGTATAATTTATAATTGAGATAGAAATGAGAAACACTGTTCTACTATGATGCTGCCTCATATTTTTGTAGAGTAGAGAATGGCCATATGTGAACAGGTTGAGAAGAGGCTCAGGTAACGTTTATGGGAGGTTGGTGACTGTGGCCCTCAATGTAATTGCAAGAATTGTAGAACACATGGAATATCTGCTCCAAGAAGTAGGGAGCTGTCACTGAAAGCCTCCTGTTTTCTTAAAGTGTTTGTTTATTTAATAAAACAATGTTTCTGGTTCTAGGTTACCTACCTCTAGGCCTGAAGTCATCCATCTTACTGTTCTTCATTATGCTTCTCTTGTCTCTATCACTTCTAGAGCCCTTAGGCCAAGGTGGGCAGATAAGCCTGGGAAAAAGTGCCAGGAACCAATTATGTTCCCACTGCACTGCTTTTTTCGATGCTTCTAGATGTGGGCTCCACAGGGCAGAGACCTTGAGTTGGCTCACGATGCAGCATCTCTCTCCCCCTCCCCCCCATAGCAAGGCCTGGCATCTAGTAAGTGCCTAATAAGTGCTCAGTGATTGAAGGCAATCTAGTGCAATGTCCTGGAAGGCTGAAAAGGAGAAGAAAGTAGGTAGATTGGTGGAGGCCTAGAGTATGAGGGACAGAGAAAGACAAAGACACACACTAAGAGAGTAGAGAAAATGACCAAGAACTAGATTTAGTGTGTAAAAGCCTAAGAGCTCATGTGTACTCATGAGATTCAACAGAAGAACCCAGGGAAGGTCAACCAATAACTCTTGGCATCCAGGTCTGCACAAGATGGATTTTCAGGTGCAGAATCCTGTTGGTCACGGTGATTTGTCTCAAATTGGATAATTTTTGTAGAAACAGCCAAACACTGTCAAGGAATCGTATAGAGAGAGTCATTAGCATGCTAACACAGCCTTGAATAAGAGGGTGACCAATCATTAGATATGTGCATCCAAGATTGCAAAAACATATTCATGAAGAAAAGGGAAGAATAAATGTCTGAGACCAGTGTTTTTTTCCCCTCCTATCCATAAACTGTTTAGTATGAAGCAATTGGAAGTCATTCTGGTCAGTCTTCTCTGCACCTGAATAAGTAGGTCACCACCAAAAATAATTACAATTATTGGAAGACTTTCTAAACATCTTGCAAGTTTAGCTGCTGAACATGTGCAATAAGGTATCTCTGAGTAATGTCCACATTGGACTTTTGTTGTACCTCTGGCTCAGTTGAATCAGGAGGGCGCCACTCCCCTTGTTAGAGTATCATATAGATGTATACAAAGTTTGTTGTGATGGCAAGAATATGAAGAAAAAAGCTCTTTCATGGAGCTGGAAAAATGGGAATACAAATTGGCACACCTGCTACTGAAGTCAAACTAGGAACACATAAGGAGATGCCTTCAGCCTCTGACAAAGGTGGAATGACAAAAACCAGATTTACCCTCCTGCCTGAAATTTCACCCTCCCCTTCTTACCTGCCCCCAAAGGGGAAAAAACCGGCAAATACATAATGTCAGTTTTCTAGACACAGAAAATCGGACAACAGAGGACAGCAATCTCTGAGAGATGAGAAACAAGCTGAGTCCTGCCATTGGCCCACATTAATGCTTTCAGAGAGTTTCCAGGTTGGGCATGAGGAGGGCTATCTGAGACCAGCTCCTTAGATTGTGGAGATGAAGCTGAGTGTTGGTGGAGGGCAAAGCAGCTAGAGTTCACAGAACAAAGGTCCAGTGATGAGAGAGAGAGAATCCAAGAATATGAAAGAGTCTCCCTCAAGTACTAAGCAGAGCTCTGATAAGAGCATGCATGTGAAGAAATGCCTGAGATCAAGAAAAGAAATTTTTGAAAAGATCATGGAACAGTGCCGGTGTTCACACAGGACAGGCAATTGTACTCACCACCACCAGCCAGACTAGAATACTCATATAATTCATGAGCCTTTGGGAAGAACACTCAGCCCTAGAATAATCAGCCCTAGACTGACCTACCTAAAATATCATAAAGCAAGATCCAAAGAGATCAAACCATTTACAAGTCACCTACCTGTACTCCAAAACAAAACTCAAGATAATTCATAGGAATACCAAAATAGTATCCAGAAGGGAAATTTTGACAATGTCCAACATCCAAGCAAAAAAATGCAGGGCATGCAAAGAGCCAGGAAAATATGATGCGAAAGGAAGAATATAATCAATCAAAATTGCACCAGAACTGAAATGATGTAAAAATCAGCAGAGAGGAGTTTAAACAGTTATCATGACTATGTTACATATGTCCAAAGAGTTCATTAGAAGTGTGGAACATACAAAAATGGCAAAAAGCAAACTTTAGAGATGAAAACTATAACATCTGTGAATCAACAACAGATTAGACATTGCAGGAAAAAAGATTAGGGAACACAAAGCCTTGAACAACTGAAAATATCCAAAATGAAACTCCAGTTAAATTTTTTTTTTTTTTACTGAACATAGCGTAATTGAATCGTAGAGCAACTTTAAAAGGCCTAATATAGGAGTGTTTGGAGCCTCTGAAAATACCAGGAGAAATTTTTTGAAGAAACAATTTTGAAGAAACATGACAGAAAATATTCCAATCATAATGAAAATTATAAACCTGCCAGTCCAGGGAGCCAAATGAACCCTGAGCACAAGAAACATAAAGAAAACCATACCTAGTCACATTATAATTAAACTGCTCAAATCCATTGAAAAAGAAAATGAAATTCCCCAGTGCACCCAGAGAGAAAAGACACAGTACATACAGAAAACAAAAAGATTATGTCACATTTCTCATCAAAAGCAGTGGAAGTGAGAAGACAGTGAAGCAACATTTTTAAAGGACTGAAGGAAAAATAAAGTCAAGGTGGAATTCTATGCCTCCCCCCCCAAAAAAAAAACTCTTTGAAAAATGAAGGTGAATGATAACATTTACAGACATACAAATGCTGAAAGACTTCATCACCAGCAAATCCATAATGCAAGAAATGTTAAAGGAGTCCTCCAAGAAGAAGAGAGCTCACATCAGATGGAATTCTGGATGTACACAGAGGAATGAAGTCCTACTGTATAGCACAGGGACCTATATTCAATATCCTGAGATAAACCATAATGGAAAAGAATATGAAAAAGCATATGTATATATATATATATATATATATACATATACACATATATATACATACATATATATGTATATGTATATATATAAACTGAATCACTTTACTGTACAGCAGAAATTAACACAACATTGTAAATCAACCACACTTCAATAAAAAATTTAAATAAAAAAACAAAAGAATGAAAGGACAAGAGACATAGTATCTGCATGGGAAAATATATGATTTTTTATTATCAATTAAATCTCTTTTAAAACATGGGAGAGTTTAAGGGAAAGTAATAACCTTGGATTTGTGGTTCATAACATATGTAAAGTAAAATGCATGACAACAAAAGCATAAAGGCAGGCAAGCAAGAAATGTGAAGAGGTATGACACCACTTGAAGGCAGGCTGTGGTAAGTTACAGATGTTTGCTCTAAAGCCTAAAGCAATCAATGAAATAACAAGAGAAAGAGTTATAACTAGTAAGCCAACAAAGGCGAGAAAATGGAATTATATACATAACCATGTATAAGCTATGATAGAGTAATTGCTCTTCCAAGATTGTACCCTATAGCCATGTGTACAAGAGTGATGACTGTAGCATTACTTGTAATAGGAAAAAAGCATAGTACCAAATTAATTGCAAAAGTATATGGAAAGGGTTAAATAAAGACTAGTACAAACAATGTAAGAAACTTCATTGGTAAAAGTTTACAGGGTAAAGAAGATGAGTCTACTCTTCCGTGAATTCTGGGATTCCCCGTGCTTTCCTCCAGAGATCCTCTCTGAGGCTCAGTGATTATCTGGACTTGGGTCCTCCTGTGTCAGGGGGCAGGAGCCTAGTAGTAAAGCATGGGAGAGGATGCGCAGACTAGAAAGCTTGGTACATCCTTTACATTGTAAAAGGGTGACACCTGTGTCTGGGTGGGCTCGAACACACCAACCTTTCAGTTAATAGCCGAACGCGCTAACCGACTGCGCCACAGAGACACGAGAAGTCTTTTGTCCTCAGGCCCACAGAGAGCAAGCATGCCTACCAAGCTAGACGGAGCCTCTCGCCTTTCCCAGGACAGCGGCG